GCAAAAATATTTCTGACACACCCCGAACCAATAACACTACCGCCAGCGCTAAGATTTACCATTGCTTTAGGTTTGTCAAACCCTTTATGTTCACGTATTTATTGATTATAAAGTATAACTATAATGTGAGCATGTTTGACAAATGAAACGTTAAGGTTAATCTAAAGAAATGTAAACGATTACAATGGGTTTTCTCGTTGATTGAAGAAGGTTCTGTTCATTTCCTGGTCTGAGAATTGATGGGCAAATGGGCGTGTTCCACAGCACGGTTAATGGTACAGTTAATGCAGTAGTAGCTTATCCCAGGGGGACGTACATGTTTTATCTCCCAGATTGCGTTTATGCTTTAAAGCATGGAATAGCACCTGTATTGCAGTGTGTGTTGGAAAATACTTATAAGTTTGTTAACTGAACATGTTGTTTGGTATTTCATGTCTTGTGATTGATAATTGATCATGATGTCAATTGGGTTGTTCTCATTGGTCAGATGCATTATGGGTAGTGTTATTTAAACCCTGTAATTTCTCTTGTTAGAGGGAGAGAAGGGGGTAAAGTTGGGCTCGATTTAGTTTATGTTCCTTGTGTTGCAACGTCCAGTTGATTATTTTTGTATATGTTGAACAGTCGCTGGCTAAGTCTTCACTTGCAAATAAAAAGCCTAAATCTGGCAAGAAAAATCAGATTTGAATGATTGCCTCGTCACTGTTAAAATCCTACCGCTGGGTCGACTTTACAAGCCTACATGATACACTTGGCATTCCATAATATTGTAGCACAGTATCCTGTATTAAGAAAAGCAAAAATGTTGCCAAGATATTGTGAAGAATCGGTGCTACAGCGTTACAGCAATGTTCCACTAACCATTATGAGGACACTGTGCTAGCTGGGTATTAGCAATGTCCTGACAGTGTTGAACATGGAACTGTAAGACATAATTGTCTATCTGCCTCCCTCTACCTCCCTGCTATGAAGCTCTGTCTGTTCTCTCTCTCTGCCTGCTCTCTGCTCACTCTCCCTCTCGGCTCACACGCCCTTATATTGCAGCGACAGCAAAAACACATGGGTCAAACTCTACTCCCAAAGGGGTTAAGAAAAGAGTGTGAGTAGAATACGTGTGTGTAGAATACTAGTCGTGGGACGCCAGGGACCTAACAGAAGGAGTTGCAATCATAAAATGCAGTGCTTATGTTGTTGTTATGGCATCACTATTAATGTAGTGTCAGGGTAGCTGCTGATGATGAATACTTTTCATAATACATAACCCAGAACACACACACGCACGCACACACACTCTGAAACAAAAGCGAGAGAGTCACCTTTGTAACTTGTCCCGAAGGTCCCTTATAAAATAGTGAGGGGCCCAGGGAATAGAAAGGTGAGATTCACATACTTAATGTAGATAACGAGGCCAATTAATTATCTGAGAAATGAGGGGAAGAGGAAGTAAGGGCCCATTGGGCTTTGGGTAGCAATAGCTTTGAGAGAAACAGTGGCAGTGTCACGCCTGCTGCCCCTCTCCGGCGCTCGACGTCACTGGTCTACTAACCACCGGTCCTGGCAACCCATCATTACGCACACCTGGCAACCTTCATTACGCACACCTGCGCCTCATCATTAGGCACACCTGGACTTCATCACTTCCCTTATTACTTCCCCTTTATTTAGCCCTCTGTTGTCATCAGTCCTTAGGTGTTATTGGTTTTTCCGCTTACGACATGATGTCATCACCGTCCATGGGTTAATGGTGAGAATGTACATGGCGGCAATGAAATTATGTCTGCTATTTCTGGAGAAGTGCAAATATGATCTGTAAGATGGTTCCATGATGTTTATAAAACATTAGATTTGCGAGCAGTATAACAGTTAGTGGACATTCCCCCCTTCTCTTTATACTGTATTGGATCTTTATCTTTTATACGTGTCCAATGTTAAAAGTTTCTGATATTTTTTTATAACCCAACCCTGATCTGTACATCTCCACAACTTTGTCCCTAACCTGTTTGGAGAGCTTGGTCATGGTGCCGCTTGCTTGGTGGTGCCCCTTGCTTAATGGTGTTGCAGACTCTGGGGCCTTTCAGAACGGGTGTATTTATACTGAGATCATGTGACACTTAGATTGCACACAGGTGAACTTTATTTAACTAATTATGTGACTTCTGAAGGTCATTGGTTGCACCAGATCTTATTTAGGAGCTTCATAGCAAAGGGGATGAATACATATGCACGCACCACTTTTCCGTTATTTATTTTTTCAAATTTCTTGAAACAAGTTATTTTTTTCATTTCACTTCACCAATCTGGACTATTTTCTTTATGTCCATTACATGAAATCCGAATAAAAATCCATTTAAATCACAGGTTGTTATGCAACAAAATAGGAAAAACACCAAGAGGGATAATTACTTTTGCAAGGCAATGTATCTGTACAGTCATACATTTTCTGATACTCTTCACACTAGCCCTTTAATACGTCACTTCCTGCTGGTTTCACTTCCTAGTTCCAGAGATATGTGGAAGGCTACCCAAAACGTTTGACCCAAGTTAAACAATTTAAAGGCAATGCTACCAAATACTAATTGAGTGTATGTAAACTTCTGACCCACTGGGAATGTGATGAAAGATATAAAAGCTTAAATAAATCATTCTCTCTACTATTATTCTGACATTTCACATTCTTAAAATAAAGTGGTGATCCTAACTGACCTAAGACAGGGAATCTTTACTAGGATTAAATATCAGGAATTGTGAAAAACTGAGTTGAAATGTGTTTTGCTAAGGTGAATGTAAACTTCCGACTTCAACTTTATGTTCGCCCACGGCGATCTGAGTGTTGCCGTTAGAGGGAAATATATAGGCAGGTCAGGAAAATATATGAGACAGAATACCAGCGAAAACAGACAGTATTATAAACTATTCTAATATGGTTTTATAGAAAAATGTGTGCTGTGCAAGTACAATAAAGTTTTCATCCATGAAAAAAATCATGAATGCCAAATGCGAAACCTCTCCACTGTTATTCAATTGATGGTATAGCCTACAGTATAAATATAAGCCATGCTGTGTATGTTTACATATTTCAGAATAAAGGCTACTCTTTCTAAACTACTGAGATCTTTCTAAGGCATATCTGATGTTAATGTCTCAATCTGAGAACAAAACCATGGTCATTATCCTGAATCGTTGGTCTGAGTTTGAAATTGTCAAGCAAAGATACTGTATATACATGAACCACTGTGGTTCTAAACATGAATGGATTCCGACCTAGATTCATCCATAATATAAATATAATATTTTCCAGGATACCAGGCATTCCAACCCCCAGACTCTCACACAGAGCAGGTCACCAGTTGGCATGGCTTCAGATGAGACACACACACACACGGTACAGCTGTGTTACGGTGCGTTTAGGGTGCCTGTCGCAACGTGTTTCGTTTGTTTTCCCACCAATGCTATGCCAGAGCCCCGGGGGAGCAAACTGTATTTCTGTTTGGGTACACAGCATCGCTGGGAGATGTGGCTAATCATACTGTACCTAGAAATCCTTTACTGTAAGAGGAGCTATATTGTTTGTCATTTTTTAGCAGACGCTCTTATCCAGAGCGACTTACAGTTAGTGAGTGCATACATAATTTTTCATACTGGCCCCCTGTGGGAATCGAACCCACAACCCTGGCGTTGCAAACGCCATGTTCTACAAACTGAGCTACATCCCTGCCGGCCATTCCCTCCCCTACCCTGGACAACGCTGGGCCAATTGTGCGCCGCCCCATGGCTCTCCCGGTCGCGGCCGGCTACGACAGAGCCTGGATACGAACCAGGATCTCTAGTGGCACAGCTAGCACTGCGATGCAGTGCCTTAGACCACTGCGCCACTCGGAAGATATATACAGATAACATGCTGCCAATTATTCTACTGAGATCATAGGCATGCCCATGGGTGTGCCTCCAAGCAATCGTTCCCTTGTACAGTAGCTGCAGTAAGCACTTTCCAATAACACTCCAGTATCTATCTATGCAGATGACCTGAATTTTTATATGGATCGTACGACTTAGACTCAGCCTCGATGACGTCACTGCATTCCACTTCTGTATATACTTAGGCCTAAATGGCCTCCACGTTCGCAAATCCATTTGCACAGTGTACACATACTGACAGTGTTCAGTGAAAACGCTCACTTTTCCAATCAACTTCATTTGCATCTAGTGCAGCCCTGTTCCGGTTAGGGGGAATAGGCTTGATATAACAGGATATAATGAGCCACGTCCGAGCCAGTGGGTGTACTTGTACTACTTGCCTAAAGCAATTATCCCACTGATGTTACAGTTTGTTTCAATCTGATAGGGCAGGCAGGCCCCACAGATATGATGTGGTAATGTGACCAGTGGAGATTTCAGGCAAAGCTGTTCGTGGTGAGCTCATAGGCACATCAGGGCATCTCTGGTTTCATCAGAGCTCTTAGAGACTATTCACTGACACACTCAACCATCAACTCTCAGTGCCAGTGATTGTGCTTATATTCAACTAATGGTAAACGAAATGGCAATTCTCGTCAAGTTTATGCTTGTTGCTGTGTCACACTCGAAACAGGCTTAGAAATAATGAATTGCAAAATAAATCATATAAGAGCATATCAAATCATTACGAACCACAAATATTGCAGATAATATTGTTATTTTATAATAATAATAATAATATGCCATTTAGCAGACGCTTTTATCCAAAGCGACTTACAGTCATGTGTGCATACATTTTTACGTATGGGTGGTCCCGGGGATCGAACCCACTACCCAGGCGTTACAAGCGCCATGCTCTACCAATTGATTATATACAGTATAAATGCTGGTCTGATCACATTGTAACAAGGAACTTTGTATTTTTATCCTACAAACAATACAAATGACATTACAACAATGAGTTGACACTAACTTGCCCCCCATCCCTAACTAGTACAAACCAAAAACAGCCAGCTCAGTCTCCCCTTCCCCATTCCTAAGCATCAGCCCATGGTAGATACCCACCCCCGCCTCTGTGTAGAGCCCCAGCGGTACTGTACTCTACTCACCCTCTCAATCTTCTCCAGCCACTCCTTGTTCTGGGCCAGCTCGGCCATGAAGGCCTGGTGCTTCAGCCACTTCTTGTGCAGCTTCTGCGTCTCATCGCGGGACGTGTCACGAGCCATGAGCATCTTCTCTGCCACCCAGTCTCCAAGCTGAGGGACAAGAGACAGAGCTGTCAGCACAGGATGATCATCCCACTCAATGCATTTGTACTGTCATCTAGGTGGTCAATGTAGGCTACTAACAGATGTATACAGAGTAGCATAGATGCCAACATACATAGAGACACACACACACATATGCAGGCACGTGTCTGTACACACACACACACACACACACGCACACGCACACAATACCTGAACAAGCACAAACAGAGACGTATTCAGGCTGAACATATGACCATAGTCACGTGAAAAACTAAAAGATAAATGCACACAATGGGTAAAAAATAAACACATATAGAAAAGAATAGAAAAGCAATCATCCAATCACATGAACACAGAAACACACACAAGGTCAAGCACATGCATATTAAACACATACAGCAGACACATGTATGCAGACACACGTGTTGTACACACACGCATACACATGGTTACAGGAATTCATTCACATGTACACAGAACACGCACAAGCACACCTCAACACAAGCAAATAATCCATTGGCACATTAGGTACAAAAGCAAGCTGACCATTACATTTAAGGCCAAACATACAAATTGACATGCAAATATCCCTGCCCATTCAACATCATCAGTACAAGCAATATAAAAATAACTATCTATCTCCTGCCTGCCACCCACATATTTCCACCCCCATCCTCTGGACTAGTCTCTCCCGTCCTCGACTGCTACTTCCCAGACATCTATCGGGAAATCTGTTCCATTTACCGGCAGGCAGCGTTTAACGGGAACGCCCCATAGGGTTGTGATGGATGGCCGTACGTATCCACATCCTCAACCTGCCCATCCAGGTAGGAATAAAGCACAAATCCTCCACAGTCAGAGAGAGAGAGAGATGCTGCAAGAATCAAAACAAACCAGCAGCAAGGCAAAGCTGCTCCTAAAAAAAAAAACGGAGGTAAGATGACGCTGAGGCTGCACTAGCCTCTCTGCTGCTGCGTTGCCGTGTTGCCGTGGCACGTTGCCGTGGCTGGTATGTTCAATCCAGAGAGAGGGAGATGGATGAGGAGGGGAGAAAAATCTCCCCAAAACAATAAAATGGCTCCAGGAGCAGGTTTGCCCCTCCCCGTGAACCCTCTCCTCTCCCTCTCATTCAGCCCCCACCTTCAGCGAACAGGCTGGTGGAGGACGGGCCTGGATTTGGAAGCATCAGCGATGGCCTGGAGGCTCAGTGGTTGTGGTTAGTGATGCTGTGAGGAGAGGGAGGGATGGGATGTGGGAGGAGGGGGCTGGCGTTTGATAGTCGAGGAGGGAGGATGGAGGTGAGAGATTCTGCTCCTCTGGCTCCTCCAAAGAAATCCAGACACGCTCGTCTCTCTTCAGAACACCTCACGACTCCTCTTTCACATTCCTATTGTCTTTCTTCTCTCTCTCTCTCTCTCTCTCTCTCTGCTGCAGTCTTTGCCTCTTCCAGCAGCACGCGGCTATATTCCGGGCTGTAACAAGCCCCAGTTTCCCCAACCCTGCTACTGCTGCAGTGGCTGAGCAGAGCGAGGTAATGCACTGGATGGAGCCAGCAAGGGAGAGAGGAGGGGAGGGGGAGTGGGTGAGCAGCAGAGAGAGAGAGAGATCCTACGCTGTTGTGAGGCGTCACCAGGGAGAATGCTCTGCACTTGAAATTACATCATTGAGCGGAGGGGAAGGTATATCTGTGGTTTGATAGATTTACTGCTTTCCTTTCGTTTAAAGGGTCCATGGCATATTCCTCTCCAACGCCCCTGCTTTTCTCCTCAACCTCTCAGCATCCTGCTCTCTGGCGGCCAGGACCACCCCTGGATGCTGCCCTCCTGACCAGAGAGGTCAGTGGGGGTCACAGGCAGATAGCCCCCCCCCCCTGGGACTCCAAATGAATTGGGCCCATGTGGAGACTGGGAGGCAGCAGCTTATGGGAAATATAGGAATGGCGCTCATCAAATGGACTCCAGTGTACCACCGCTATTAGAGATGATGAGCCTCTGCCTCCAGTCCACAGTCAGGTCAGATCAATGTGACCAGGGTGACCAGGCCTCCTCCTCCTCATGGCTCCATCTTACCATCTCACTCAAAGAATAGGTCAGATAGAGCTAAACAGGTCCATCTCATATCTATAGGCAAACTATTCCCTTTACTGTATATTGCACTTTATTTTGGGGATGCAGCCATAGACAAGTGAACTAGCAAAATCTAGAATTCTTCTAGAATTGAGGTTCAGAATGGAGCATGGTAAAAAACTACCGCTGGACATGCACCAACCCTTTCTTCTCAAGCCAGTAGAGCTTAAGCTGGAAAGTGAAGAACGCACTTCTGACTTGGTTCTGCACGTTCTTACAAACTGTCGCAGTGTGTGTCACTCTCATACATTAGGCCACACACAGGGAGGGAAAGCTTCTCACACAGATACACACTCCCTTTCCCCTGAATTAATGATGGAGGTGGTGGTGAATTATTCAATGCAGGGCAGGCAGAGAGGAAGTTGTAGAAACTGAATAAAGCTGTGGGGCAGACTATGAGACCCTTTGAACAGCTGATACATCCAGGTTGGGCACTGAACACTGAATATGGCTCTCCTGACCCATTGACACACAGCACAGCTTAAACATGGCAGTCAAAGTCATGTCACAGCAAAGCATGATCTTCATTAACAACCAAATGACAACCGTATGACAAGTATCCACCGACTATCAACTAGGTCCACCTCTCTCAAGGGGTTTGCCAGAAGTTGACTGTCCAGTCAGAAAGATCCAGCAGGTCAAACAACATCCAATCACATCTATACCTCAGATGAGTCAAGTTCGTCTGTCACTCCATCCCCAAGTTAAGCATCTAACACAGCAGCCGGCCGGCTCAAATCCTTCAACTTACATAAAACAAAAACAAAAAGGTCACCCCTGATATAAAGATTGAGGAAGGGATAGACCCCACCAAAGGTCTTTCAGATATCATTCAATTCCAGGTAAGCAGAGTTTTAGTATATCACTGAATCCAGCAACAAGATATCCATTTCGAGGTTTAAGCCTGACCCCCTGTGGTCCCAAGCAGAGCCTTTTTTTGAACCCTTACTACCTCCCATTGGTTATTCCATTGATATGCCAGTGTTGGTTTTGACACTATTCATGTTGTGTCCTACCTCGTGGCAGTCCTGTAGTAACCTCTGGAGCCCCCACTGGCCGTTGAGCCTCTCCAGCCACTGTTGGGCCAGTTCCCGGTTCTGGTTGCCTCTGTGGAGGAGAGAGACATAGAGCCATTCATTCACACACTGCTCAATTCATTCACACACTGCATCAATCACTCTACTGGTATCTGCAACTGTAACTCTATGATGTAGATGGATTTTGGTGCAGCACACCGAACAACAGTGAGTCCATTGTAAAGACATGAGTCGGCCAACGGTCTCATCTAAATATCTCCCTAACGTGGTCGCCCCATGCTATTGTTGGGGTGGAGAATTGAATATGGGGTAACTAGGCCCCTCCTTGCCTCACCCATCAGTATGAATTTCATGCTCTGCTGTTAAGGCAAGTATCAACAAGGGGAGTTTCTTTCAGTTGCTAGTCTCCTCTGTGTACCATTGTGTTTGTGAAGCCCACCTGCTACCAAGACCACTTCATTATCACTATAGTATAATTAACTCATATTTCAAGGATGAAGAACATTTTATATTTCAATATCCATAGTGCAATCATACAGTGCCTTCAGAAAGTATTCAGACCCCTTGATTGTTTCCACATTTTGTTACGTTACAGCCTTATTCTAAAATTGATCAAATTGTTTTTTTTCCCCTCTTTTGCTACGAGGCTCGAAATTGAGCTCAGGTGCATCCTGTTTCCATTGATCATCCTTGAGATGTTTCTACAACTTGATTGGAGTCCACCTGTGGTAAATTCAATTGATTGGACATGATTTGGAAAGGCACACACCTGTCTATATAAGGTCCCACAGTTGACAGTCCATGTCAGAGGAAGAAATTAAGCCATGAGGTCGAAGGAATTGTCCGTAGAGCTCCAAGACAGGATTGTGTCAAGACACAGATCTGGGGAAGGGTGCAAATTTTTTTTTTCAGCATTGAAGGTCCCCATGAACACAGTGGCCTCCATCATTCTTAAATGGAAGAAGTTTGGAACCACCAAGACTCTTCCTAGAATTGGCCGGCCGGCCAACCTGAGCAATCGGGGGAGAAGGGCCTTGGTCAGGGAGGTGACCAAGAACCCGATGGTCACTCTGACAGAGCTCTAGAGTTCCTCTGTGGAGATGGGAGAACCTTCCAGAAGGACAACCATCTCTGCAGCACTCCACCAATCAGGCCTTTATGGTAGAGTGGCCAGACGGAAGCCACTCCTCAGTAAAAGGCACATGACAGCCCGCTTGGAGTTTGCCAAAAGGCACCTAAAGAATCTCAGACCATGAGAAACAAGATTCTTTGGTGTGATGAAACCAAGATTTAACTCTTTGGCCTGAATGCCAAGCGTCACGTCTGGAGGAAACCTGGCACCATCCCTACGGTGAAGCATGGTGGTGGCAGCATCATGCTGAGGGGATGTTTTGCAGCAGCTGTTACGTTCGTTGTATAAAGGATTGGACCAAGGTGCAGCGTGGTATGCGTACATGTTTAATTTATTAAATAAACACTTGACAAAATAACAAAAGAAACTGAACGTGAAGTTCTAAAGGCTAACAGCAACAAGCCTAAACAGAAACAAGATCCCACAACTAAGGTAGGCAAAATGGCTACCTAAGTATGATCCCCAATCAGAGACAACGATCGACAGCTGCCTCTGATTGGGAACCACACCCGGCCAACAAAACTAGATTATATCAAAATCTAGCATTCACACCCTGACCAAACTAACTAGTGAAGTAACAGGGCTCTCAAGGTCAGGGCGTGACAGCGGCAGGGACTGGGAGACTAGTCAGGATCGAGGCAAAGATGAACGGAGCAAAATACAGAGAGCTCCTTGATGAAAGCCTGGTCCAGAGTGCTCAGGACCTCAGACTGGGGCGAAGGTTCACCTTCCAACAGGACAACGACCCTAAGAACACAGCCAGGAAAACGCAGGAGTGGCTTTGGGACAAGTTTCTGAATATCCTTGAGTGGCCCAGCCAGAGTCCGGATTTGAACCTGATCGAACATCTCTGGAGAGACCTGAAAATAGCTGTGCAGCGATGCTCCCCATCCAACTTGACAGAGCTTGAGAGGATCTGCAGCAAATAATGGGAGAAACTCCCCAAATACAGGTGTGCCAAGCTTGTAGCGTCATACCCAAGAAGACGCAAGGCTGTAACCACTGCCAAAGGTGCTTCAACAAAGTACTGAGTAAAGGGTCTGAATACTTATGTAAATGTAATATTTCAGGGGGGGTTACATTTGCAAAAAAATCTATTTGCTGTTTTTGCTTTGTCATTATGGGGCATTGTGTGTAGATTGACGAGGGTAAAAAAACAATTTAATCAAAACAAAATTTGGAAAAAGTCAAGGGGTCTGAATACTTTTCGAATGCACTGTATATGGTATTGTGCCTCTGCCAAGTGACAAGTGACACATCTACCTATACCTCATGTGTTTCAGACTTGAGCGCAGCACCCTCCCCTGTATAAATAAGGCCAGGTGAATATTCAGTCATGCTGCTATATGGGTCGGACTTGCCTCGCATTTCATTTTCATGCCTCTGTGCTCTTCTATGTATAGTCAAAGATGTTTAAGAAAGATTGTAAATGGCTTTGATATACAATAGCATGGTCAGACTAGAACAATCCTATGTCGCCACCCACCTGTTAGCGAGGGTGTCCACACGTTCCTTGATGCGGTCCGAGTAGATGTTGCTCTGGCTGATGAGGCTCTCTCCGGCCTCGATGACAGCCTTGATGCGATGCAGGTTGAGCTCCATGGTGGTGGTAAAGTCCTTGTGCTTCTTGATGGCAGCCTCCACCGTCTCCACCGTGGTGGGGAGCTCAATGTGAGCCAAGGCTGACTCCTGGAGGAGGACAGGGAGAATGGACAGAGTCAGAACCACATGTCAGTGAAGAGTTTATTAATGTACAAGAGAGTAGAGGGAATACAATGAAAACTGAGAGAGAAAATGGGAATATTACTGTAGTAAGCTCTTGTATAGTATGTGTGGAAAACCTTGCTCACAGACATGGGTATCATCTCATGGCATTTTATCAATAACTACATTAGCATGTTTAGTACATGCAAAAGCTGCAGATTCTATTTTGCTGAATGATAAATATGCTGATCTCTAAGGAAAATAATGAGGTCAGGTTTCAGTCATTATTGGCAAGGAACACTACAACGTTTTTATGATCAATGGATGGCATGAAAATAGCAGCCCTCTCAGGTTCTATTTCATACAACAAAGCTTTACCGAGATGTCTGAATTGTGACTGCTGAATTGTTGTGTTCAACACAATTACACGTAAAGTAAAGCGATAGTGTAAGGACATTCCTAAATGTATGGTCAGATACTCGTTGAGACATGCTAATGGTTGAGAGAAACATGGGTGAAAGACCAAAAACAAGTCCATGGCACCTTGTTTGACAATTATTCAAAAAGAAATCCGTTGGCCTCTTGTTCTATAGGGAATAAGGGAGAACTGGGTCTGTGGTAAAAGTCTGTTAGCAAACCAGAACAGACATGCTCTGACACACGGACAGAGAAGTCGGGGAAATGCATGCCTTTTGACATTTCAACTGGAATGGAGCACTGTTCTGCATGCAAAGACCCTGTAATGGAGTGTACTGTATAAACTGGTGTATATATTCCAGCTTGCATAGCATAACCTATAGATAGACCATTACATACTCGCACACATGGCCCAATAAAGGAAGGTATACTGTGCATGAATATAAATGCAAAACAATGTGGCAAAAATGTTAAATGAACTATATGTTGACATTTTAACCTTATCAATTGTACTGTATAAACACCCACATATAGACACTAAAGCCTGTGAGCCCTAATTGGCACAGTGAAGACCAAATTGCCATCACAATAGTGTGCAAGCAGATAGTTACTAGTTTTGCTGCAGGTCTGCAATGTTGCAGGTCTACGATTGGTCGTTGGTTGTGCTGTCATATCTTGCTGGGATTTCCTGCTATAGAGCCACCCATGAATTCTACATCTAGGCTAGTGATCGCAGGCATATGCTGTGCTGTGTGTAACTGTAAAAGCAACCATCTGATCATTTCCACAATTACATTTTTACATTTTAGTCATTTAGCAGACGCTCTTATCCAGAGCGACTTACAGTTAGTGAGTGCATACATTATTTTATTTAATTTTTTCATACTGGCCCCCCGTGGGAAACGAACCCACAACCCTGGCGTTGCAAACACCATGCTCTACCAACTGAGCTACATCCCTGTCGGCCATTCCCTCCCCTACCCTGGACGACGCTGGGCCAATTGTGCGCCGCCCCATGGGTCTCCCGGTCGCGGCCGGCTACGACAGAGCCTGAATTCGAACCAGGATCTCTAGTGGCAGAGCTAGCACTGCGATGCAGTGCCTTAGACCACTGCGCCACTCGGGAGATAATGCCCTTTCCACACCCTTTTTGGTTCCAGGTAGAACCCTTTTTGGTTCCAGGCAGAACTTTGTGTAAAGGGTTCTCCATGGAACTCAAAAGGATTTTACCTGGAACCAAAAACTATTCTTAAAAGGGTTCTCTTATGGGGACAGCCAAAGAACCCATTTAGGTTCTAGATAGCACCTTTTTTCTAAGAGTGCAGGCCTGGAGTTTTCACTGGCAGCATAGCAGCAAATAGAACGCTGGCCATTCCCTGCAATAGCACTAACCCTCACCGTAATATCACTGACCCTCACCGTAATAGCACTGATCCTCACCGTAATAGCACTGACCCTCACCGTAATAGCACTGACCCTCACCTTAATAGCACTGACCCTCACCGTAATAGCACTGATCCTCACCATAATAGCACTGACCCTCACCGTAATAGCACTGACCCTCACCGTAATAGCACTGACCCTCACCGTAATAGCACTGATCCTCACCGTAATAGCACTGACCCTCACCGTAATATCACTGACCCTCACCGTAATAGCACTGATCCTCACCGTAATAGCACTGACCCTCACCGTAATAGCACTGACCCTCACCGTAATAGCACTGACCCTCACCGTAATAGCACTGATCCTCACCGTAATAGCACTGACCCTCACCGTAATAGCACTGACCCTCACCGTAATAGCACTGACCCTCACCGTAATAGCACTGATCCTCACCGTAATAGCACTGACCCTCACCGTAATAGCACTGACCCTCACCGTAATATCACTGACCCTCACCGTAATAGCACTGATCCTCACCGTAATAGCACTGACCCTCACCGTAATAGCACTGACCCTCACCGTAACAGCACTGACCCTCACCGTAATAGCACTGATCCTCACCGTAATAGCACTGACCCTCACCGTAATAGCACTGACCCTCACCGTAATATCACTGACCCTCACCGTAATAGCACTGATCCTCACCGTAATAGCACTGACCCTCACCGTAATAGCACTGACCCTCACCGTAACAGCACTGACCCTCACCGTAATAGCACTGACCCTCACCGTAATAGCACTGACCCTCACCGTAATATCACTGACCCTCACCGTAATAGCACTGATCCTCACCGTAATAGCACTGACCCTCACCGTAATAGCACTGACCCTCACCGTAATAGCACTGACCCTCACCGTAATAGCACTGACCCTCACCGTAATAGCACTGACCCTCACCGTAATATCACTGACCCTCACCGTAATAGCACTGATCCTCACCGTAATAGCACTGACCCTCACCGTAATAGCACTGACCCTCACCGTAACAGCACTGACCCTCACCGTAATAGCACTGATCCTCACCGTAATAGCACTGACCCTCACCGTAATAGCACTGACCCTCACCGTAATATCACTGACCCTCACCGTAATAGCACTGATCCTCACCGTAATAGCACTGACCCTCACCGTAATAGCACTGACCCTCACCGTAACAGCACTGACCCTCACCGTAATAGCACTGATCCTCACCGTAATAGCACTGACCCTCACCGTAATAGCACTGACCCTCACCGTAATAGCACTGACCCTCACCGTAATAGCACTGACCCTCACCGTAATAGCACTGACCCTCACCGTAATAGCACTGACCATCACCGTAATAGCACTGTGCTTCCAGCATCAATATCTAGTACAGTCAGAAGTCATATTGTAGCTATTCATGTTTAATATGAATGACTGACTAATAACACAGATTAGCTAAATATGAAATTGACTCAGTGTGTTTTCTCACCACAGAACATACAGTATATAGGCCTAACTACTAAATATTGCTAATAGATATATTGGTGTTGGGAAGTCCAACAAGAGGCTAACTGACCTGGTTGTTGAGGAAGGCCTCAGCCTGCTTGACGTCCCTCAGGAAGAGGTGGAAAATGTGCGCCTGCACCAGCACCTCCCTCCGGCTCTCCCACATCTCCAGCAGCTTGTTCCAGCCCACATCCAGCTTCTGGAGCCACTGCTGTAGCGCAGCATAGGGTAGCGGAGCCTCCTCGGCCTCCAGCAGCTCGTTGACCGCCTGCAGCCGCTCGTAGTCCTCCTCGTACCTCCCGATCTCCTCCTTCAGCGCCGCGTGGCAGTTGATCAGCCTCTCGGCCTCCTCCAGCGCGTTGGGCAGCTCGTCGCTAGCTGCCGCCGTCTGCGTCTGCACCAGCCACGTCAGGAAGCAGTCCAGGTCCTGGATGAACTGCTGCAGCCGCCCCGCCACGATCAGGGAGTCCTCGCAGCCCTGCAGCGTGCGCTTCAGCTCCTCCCACTCCACACTGATGCCCTCGAAGGGCTCCAGGACCTCCATGGCCTTGGCCGGGTGTGAGATGGCCAGCTCCTCTGCCTCCTGCTGCAGGTGAAGCAGCTTGGGCTCCAGCACAGCCAGAGCCCCCTCCATGGTGGAGAGTCGGCGCTGTAGGGCCAGCACCCCGCCCAGGTCACTGCCCACGTACTGAGTGGTGTCGATGGCCTTGCGCTTCTCCTGGATCTGGGACTTGATCTCAGCACACTCCAGCAGGTAGTTCTGGAGACGGAGTACAGAGTCCAGGTGGTCCTTCTTCTGCTCCACCATCTCCACGATGCGGTTCCACCTAGAGGGGACAGACAGGGGCACAGGGGTGGGAATTGGGGCAGGGTCAGTCCGCATCCGTTTGAAGCTTATAATTCACATATCATTCAGTTAGTATACTAAAACATACACTATGTATTAGCTATTCTTACAATTGTCACAATTCATGTTTGAAAAATATATAGACTATTAAAATATCTATTATTTTCATCTACAAACAGAGCCCAACAGGATGGAATCAATAGTGCAATTGATCGAATCCATTAATAAGGGACATTGGTTTAGTTTGTTAGTTGTCATTTGCATCTCATAGGGTTTTGGCTTTTTCTTGACACAGACTGTGTCTAGCTTATTTCCAGGCCAACTAATATGGTCAAGCAAAAGAACAGGCATGAATTATACTCATTCAGCTAAGCATATCCAACATGACGTCATGCCAGAACCCCCTAGCCAGAGGCTTCAAAGGGTAGCAATATCATCTACCTAATATCTACAATATCCGTGAATGCTATTTTTAGTCATAACTAAAACCATAACAGTTTGAGACTGAGGGAGAATATAGTAAAGCCAAAGAGAACACATTTTGGGCAGGTTGGTCATGCACTTGGTGTGGCAGGCAGTCGACACAGATGGTCACCCTGAGAGAGGCTATGTATTCCAAGATCAGGAGGAACTGGGACACTGTAGCATTTCACCAAAACCATCATCCACTACCCTGGCCCTGGCTTTAGATAATAATAATATGCCATTTAGCAGACGCTTTTATCCAAAGCGACTTACAGTCATGTGTGCATACATTTTTACGTATGGGTGGTCCCGGGGCTCGAACCCACTACCCTGGCGTTACAAGCACCATGCTCTCCCAATTGAGCTACAGAGGACCATCATGGTCAAGATCTGTCTGCCTGTGTCACCATGGTGTCACTAGGGTCTCTGGTCCAATCAGTCCCCTTCCAGGTCTATCAGCAGGGAGCATGCATGTGATCATCATGGCTTCTGTTGATCCCGATCTGGGCCAAATAAGAACAGTGGACCAGATTCTTCTAATCAACCCTCCTCCCTTCCCTTATATGGCAGGAAATGAGTTAAGAATGAGGTAACTGGGAAAAAAAACTATCATCAATACACTATGCACCATGTGCTGTACATGGATTGACAGATGTGTTTCTATGGCTGCGTTTACACAGGCATCCCAATTCTGATAATTTTTTTTGACCAATCAGATCAGCTCTTTTCAGAATTGGGCTGCCTGTATAAACACAGCCTATGTAGTGTTTAGTTTTTCAATAAATTACCTGTGTTGATGAATCTCTATTAAACTATACATAATTCCCATGTTATTTCGCAATGCAGATAAGTCACATTTTCATCACATATTGGTGCTGAGTGGGTAAACAGAGAGACCGGTAGGTCTATGTTATGTCTTGTTGTGGAGTAGACATTTACATTTTAGTCATTTAGCAGACGCTCTTATCTAGAGCGACTTACAGTTAGTGAGTGCATACATTATTTTTTAATTGTTCATACTGGCCCCCCGTGGGAATCAAACCCACAACCCTGGCGTTGCAAACGCCATGCTCGACCAACTGAGCTACATCCCTGCCGGCCATTCCCTCCCCTACCCTGGACGACGCTGGGCCAATTCTGCGCCGCCCCATGGGTCTCGATTCGAACCAGGATCTCTAGTGGCACAGCTAGCACTGCGATGCAGTGCCTTAGACCACTCCGCCACTCGGGAGACCTGGGGTGCATTCATTAGTGCACACCACAGCAAACTGTAGCAAAACATTCTTATTGGTAAAGTTTAGGTTAGTCCTTCCCCGTTTTGGCCGTTTGCTTCTGTTTGGTTCCTAGTGAATACACCCCAGAGTTGGTCAGTCAGAGAACAGTGGGGTGGGTTACCTGCTGTTGAGGTGGTCCTGACAGCCTCTGACCTCTGTAGAGCTGGGATGACCACTGTCCAGGAGCTGCTGCACTATCTGGTTCACATCCAGAATCCTTCCCATCAGGCTGTTCATCTCCTGGTCCAGGCTCTCAAACCTACAGAGAGCGTGACATGAGAGGAGGGAGAATGTACACTACCGTGCTTTTTCTTTGCAACTTTGCCTAGAAGGTCAGCAACCCAGAGTCGCCTCTTCACTGTTGACGTTGAGACTGGTGTTTTGCGGGTACTATTAATGAAGCTGCCAGTTGAGGACCTGTGAAGTGTCTGTTTCTCAAACTAGACACTCTAAAGTATTTGTCCTCTTGCTCAGTTGTGCACCGGGGCCTCCCACTCCTCTTTCTATTCTGATTAGAGCCAGTTTGTGCTGTTCTGTGAAGGGAGTAGTACACAGCGTTGTACGAGCTCTTCAGTTTCTTGGCAATTTCTCGCATGGAATAGCCTTCATTTCTCAGAACAAGAATATACTGACGAGTTTCAGAAGAAAGTTATTTGTTTCTGGCCATTTTGAGCCTGTAATCGAACCCACAATTGCTGATGCTCCAGATACTCAATTAGTCTCAAGAAGGCCAGTTTTATTGCTTCTTTAATCAGCACAACAGTTTTCAGCTGTGCTAACATAATTGCAAACGGGTTTTCTAATGATCAATTAGCCTTTTAAAATGATAAACTTGGATTAGCGAACAAAATATACCATTGGAACACAGGACTGATGGTTGCTGATAATGGGCCTTTGTACGCCTATGTAGATATTCTATTAAAAATCAGCCGTTTCCAGCTACAATAGCCATTTACAACATTAACAATGTCTACACTGTATTTCTGATCAATTTGATTCAAATAGATTTCTTTCGAAAACAAGGACATTTCTAAGTGACCCCAGACTTTTGAAAGGCAGTGTATGTTTTAAATGCAATAGAGCCATCAGCTAGTTATGACTGTTTATGACATACTGTATGCTTGGTCATTGTTATGACAGTGTTATGTAGCCCTTATGAGGGAGGGTTCCCGAAAAATGCATGACTAACTTTATAACTAAAAGCATGACTTAAATCTAACATTGTCCCTATGATCGCCACCCCAGACGGAAGCTGTACCTGTGGGCTATGACCTCCACGTCCTCCAGCCTCTCTGGAACCTCCATCTTGTTGAGCCACTGCTCCTTCTCATCGATCCACACCTCGCAGGCGTTGACCTCGCTGAACATGAGGTAGACGGCCAGTGCGTCATGCAGCCACTGCTGCCTTAGGACGGCCACCTCGGCCACCTCGGCGTACAGCTGCTCCGCCTCGCCCATCCTCGACTGAACCTCGTTCAGCTCCCGGTAGTGCAGTGGCAGCGCCACCATGTGTTTGCGCAGAGTTACTACATGCAGCCGGTGCTTGTCCACGGCCTCGCGCACACCCCGGTGCTTCTTGAGCAGCGACTGGGTGGAGTACTCGTCGTGGCCAAAGTCCTCGCTGGACACCAGGCGGTAGGCGTCCTGCAGCCAGGCCAGCAGGTCATCCGTCTCAGTGCTGAACTGGAAGAAATTTAGTGCTTCCTGCAGGTGGCCGAGTCTCTGCGCCGCCTGGTCCTCTAGCCTCTTCCACTCCCCTTTCACCTCCATGATGCGCTCCTGGATGTCCCCCGTGCCGAAGCTCTTCTCCATCAGGATCTGCTTGCCCTTTTTCATGGTCTGCTGGAGGAGGGAGCGGCGAGCCAGCAGCTCCCCAGCCAGGGTCTTGTGTTTCTGGAGCAGCCGCAGCACGCTGCTCAGGTCCTTGCCGCAGGTCTGGGTGGCCAGGATGGAGCTCTTCTCGCGGATCCAGGCCTCGGACTCCTCCACCTCCTGGAAGAAGGCCCAGAGGTGCTGAGACTCCTCCAGCTCCGAGCGCCGCTTGGCCGCCAGCTGCTTGAGCTCCTCCAGGCAGGTACTGACGTGGTTGACCCGGTTGCAGATCACCTGGGGGTCACAGGGCTGGTAGCCTGGGAAGGAGAGAGAATAGTGGACAGGGGACAGGGGACAGCACTCAATATACATGTCTGTATTAGAGATGTCTATGGGGGACTGTTTCTGAACACTCAATGAACTTTGCATGTAAACAAAACACTATTACTGATATAAAATGGGCATAAAGTTTTACAAAAGAACTATGCAATATCCACAAAATTGAAATAACTACATTCATTCACTTCTGTATTGTAAATGGATCTTCAGAAAATAAATTGTGGAAAGTCTTGTCCTCTTGTGGCTCTATCTGGAAGTGCCATGACCATCTTCACCACTCAATGTACAGTAAACTATACTCCTACACACTCTTAATACAAAACATTAGTTTTTTTTAACAGTGCATTTTTCCGAGACCATGGGAGACATAACAGCAATAGTCCGTATTTCTAATCCTATCATATCCAAATATTTCATCCCTCAAAATCACCAAGTTGTTATCAAAGCACATTCCACTTCTCACTGAAGACGATCTGTGAACATCTGCCATCTGATGTCTTACCTTCGATGGTGGTGAATTTGAGAGCGGCTGTGTTAAGGGTCTGTACCCTCTCTGCCTGCACTATGATGTCAGCTTCCTGGAGGCTGTGTTTCTGCAGCAGGTCGTCCACCTCCAGCAGATGCTTGCCGAAGTCTTTGGAAAGGAGCTGGACCTGTGGTGAGTGGGATGTTGGTCACCTTCCTGACACTCAGCAGTGCTTTCACTGACCATGCTGCCTGTACTAAAACTTAAAAGTCAATGTCTCAAGGGTTTCTCACTGTTTTTTCATGCACTGTATCTCCACATTATCATTTCATGTGTACACGAATGTCAACCCAGAGTCTATACCGTTGAGTCGACACAACTTTGAGATAGTATAGTGTTCATGTAATGTAAAATGCATGACAAAAGTCTCACCTGCATGTCCTCCATCCAGTCAATCATGTAGACCATGTCCTGGAAGTTCTTCTGCAGGGCCAGGTTCTTCTCCAGCCGGGCCTTCCTCCCCACCACCAGCTCCTTCAGCAGGCTCCACTGGCCCAGGATGTTCTCCTTGCGGGCCGAGATGCGCCGGATGTCGTAGTAACCCTCCGTCTCCATCTCTCCAGCCAGCTCCACCACCACCCCGATGCGCTCCTCATAGGACGAGATGTCCGCCTCAATGGCCTCGTGCTTCTTCATGGCGGCCTCCACCGCTGGCAGGTCGTAGCCAAAGTTATCCTGATGGGACGGGACATTCAGTCAGGCAGAGGTTCACTTAACTACAGGCAGGTGATTGTGTAAGGGTTTACTCAGTCAGGGCAATGCAGTCATAGGAAAATAAATCTTAATATACCAATGTCCATTTAAAAGTAATTAATGTTATACAATACTGCCATTGGTTCTAAAAATACATTCTAAAGACATTTCATTCTCAATCCACAGCTACATTATAAGACTATTGCTATAAGACTGTTAGGATATGGCCCTTATGTGATATTTTAGAGACACTAGTCACTGTGGGCCTGTGGTCCCTACCTGAGACACGAGGCGCTGGTTCTCGTTGAGCCACGCCTGTCTCATGGTGGTCTTGTGGTCAAACCGCTGGGCCAGCAGCTCCAGCTTCTCCTGCCGAATCAGCTCCTGCCGTAGGGCCACGCCTCTCTCATGCTCCGCCTTCTCCAGCCTCTCCCACGCCTAGCCAAATGAAAACCAGAGGAACATTTACCCACAATGAAGCATGGTAACAAACTTAAAGAGGAGTAATTTGCACTGATTTACTGATAAAGAAGGAGTTTATATTTGCCAAGACCTGTCCAGTTATTGCATTATCTGTTCAGGCATTTCAGACACTCCTTATTCCCACTTATACTAGTATTCATTACCTTATTGATATCAGAGATGAGTTTCCCTTCATGAGGCACGTATGGTTTCTGGTTGTTAGCTCTGAGCTTGCTTTGGATAGTAAAGAGGAGCACCTCCAAGTTCCCCTTCTCCTGGAACCTAGCACAAGACAGAAAGTGTGTTTCACAAATATCCTGAGACACAGTACTGTGCACAAGGTGGGATCCGTTTGAAACGTAAAATCACAGGCGTCATATCCCAGATCCTGTAACTTAAAATAACCATCTGCTCAGAAATTGATAACAGACATGTATTTTTTCCTATTATTAAGTTACGTTCATGGAATTTTGGATGACGGTTATTGGTCAGCCAAATGACCGTGGTCACCGTTACAATCGTTTGAATAGCAAAAAAATGAAAAGACGCACATTATCTCCTTTCCTCCTGTCCTGACTGCATGTGCTGCTGCAGGGAGGGGCCATTGCCAAGGAAACCAAAGATTTGTTTGCTACAACACCTTGCTTGTTTCAAGGAGCAACAAAGTTTCATCACATTGTAAAGAGTCCACGTTGCTTGTCAAAAATGTAATGTAATACAATGGCAATCCGGGTTATAGGTAAAAATCCTACGCATGAACTGCTGACATTATTACGCATATTAATCGATAATGATGGAAAATAAGATATGCAAGATATTTGAATGGATATATATTTTTAAATAGCTATATATATATACAGCACACAGTGCCACCCACAAAACATAAGCAGGTCAACCGCCAAAAGCATTTCCAATGCTCTCACCTCAATATATATATATATATATATATATATATATATATATATATATATACAGTGGGGAAAAAAAGTATTTAGTCAGCCACCAATTGTGCAAGTTCTCCCACTTAAAAAGATGAGAGAGGCCTGTAATTTTCATCATAGGTACACGTCAACTATGACAGACAAAATGAGGAAAAAAAAATCCAGAAAATCACATTGTAGGATTTTTTATGAATTTATTTGCAAATTATGGTGGAAAATAAGTATTTGGTCAATAACAAAAGTTTCTCAATACTTTGTTATATACCCTTTGTTGGCAATGACACAGGTCAAACGTTTTCTGTAAGTCTTCACAAGGTTTTCACACACTGTTGCTGGTATTTTGGCCCATTCCTCCATGCAGATCTCCTCTAGAGCAGTGATGTTTTGGGGCTGTCGCTGGGCAACACGGACTTTCAACTCCCTCCAAAGATTTTCTATGGTGTTGAGATCTGGAGACTGGCTAGGCCACTCCAGGACCTTGAAATGCTTCTTACAAAGCCACTCCTTCGTTGCCCGGGCGGTGTGTTTGGGATCATTGTCATGCTGAAAGACCCAGCCACGTTTCATCTTCAATGCCCTTGCTGATGGAAGGAGGTTTTCACTCAAAATCACATGATACATGGCCCCATTCATTCTTTCCTTTACACGGATCAGTCGTCCTGGTCCCTTTGCAGAAAAACAGCCCCAAAGCATGATGTTTCCACCCCCATGCTTCACAGTAGGTATGGTGTTCTTTGGATGCAACTCAGCATTCTTTGTCCTCCAAACACGACAAGTTCTATTTTGGTTTCATCTGACCATATGACATATGACATTCTCCCAATCCTCTTCTGGATCATCCAAATGCACTCTAGCAAACTTCAGACGGGCCTGGACATGTACTGGCTTAAGCAGGGGGACACGTCTTGCACTGCAGGATTTGAGTCCCTGGCGGCGTAGTGTGTTACTGATGGTAGGCTTTGTTACTTTGGTCCCAGCTCTCTGCAGGTCATTCACTAGGTCCCCCCGTGTGGTTCAGGGATTTTTGCTCACCATTCTTGTGATCATTTTGACCCCACGGGGTGAGATCTTGCGTGGAGCCCCAGATCGAGGGAGATTATCAGTGGTCTTGTATGTCTTCCATTTCCTAATAATTGCTCCCACAGTTGATTTCTTCAAACCAAGCTGCTTACCTATTGCAGATTCAGTCTTCCCAGCCTGGTGCAGGTCTACGATTTTGTTTCTGGTGTCCTTTGTCAGCTCTTTGGTCTTGGCCATTGTGGAGTTTGGAGTGTGACTGTTTGAGGTTGTGGACAGGTGTCTTTTATACTGATAACAAGTTCAAACAGGTGCCATTAATACAGGTAACGAGTGGAGGACAGAGGAGCCTCTTAAATAAGAAGTTACAGGTCTGTGAGAGCCAGAAATCTTGCTTGTTTGTAGGTGACCAAATACTTATTTTCCACCACAATTTGCAAATAAATTCATTAAAAATCCTACAATGTGATTTTCAGGATTTTTATTTCTCAATTTGTCTGTCATAGTTGACGTGTACCTATGATGAAAATTACAGGCCTCTCTCATCTTTTTAAGTGGGAGAACTTGCACAATTGGTGGCTGACTAAATACTTTTTTGCCCCACTGTATATATATATATATATATATATATATATATTGAGGTGAGAGCATTGGAAATGCTTTTGGCGGTTGACCTGCTTATGTTTTGTGGGTGGCACTGTGTGCTGTTTTCGATGGATGGGTCCTGGCCTCTCGGGGGCCTAGGGATTCGGGGGGACGGGGGTGGTATGCTGATCACTGGGATGACGGCCCAACTTGGGAAGGGGAGGGGCTTTAGCAGGGGAATTAGTGGAGAACAATTGGAGGGTTACTTACAGTTGAAGTCGGAAGTTTACATACACTTAGGTTGGAGTCATTAAAACTAGTTTTTCAACCACTCCGCAAATTTCTTGTTAACAAACTATAGTTTTGGCAAGTCAGTTAGGACATCTACTTTGTGCATGACACAAGTAATTTTTCCAACAATTGTTTACAGACAGATTATTTCACTTATAATTCACTGTATCACAATTCCAGTGGGTCAGAAGTTTACATACACTAAGTTGACTGTGCCTTTAAACAGCTTGGAAAATTCCAGAAAATTATGTCATGGCTTTAGAAGCTTCTGATAGGCTAATTGACATCATTTGAGTCAATTGGAGGTGTACCTGTGGATGTATTTCAAGGCCTACCTTCAAACTCAGTGCTTCTTTCCTTGACATCATGAGAAAATTAAAAGAAATCAGCCAAGACCTCAGAAGAAAATGTGTAGACCTCCACAAGTCTGGTTCATCCTTGGGAGCAATTTCCAAACGCCTGAAGGTACCACGTTCATCTGTACAAACAATAGTACGCAAGTATAAACACAATGGGACCACGCAGCCGTCATACCGCTCAGGAAGGAGACGCGTTCTGTCTCCTAGAGATTAACGTACTTTGGTGCGAAAAATGCAAATAAATCCCAGAACAACAGCAAAGGACCTTGTGAAGATGCTGGAGGAAACAGGTACAAAAGTATCTATATCCACAGAAAAACGAGTCCTATATCGACATAACCTGAAAGGCTGCTCAGCAAGGAAGAAGCCACTGCTCCAAAACCGCCATTAAAAAGCCAGACTATGGTTTGCAACTGCACATAGGGACAAAGATCGTACTTTTTGGAGAAATGTCCTCTGGTCTGATGAAACAAAAATAGAACTGTTTCGCCATAATGACCATTGTTATGTTTGGAGGAAAAAGGGGGTTTCTTGCAAGCTGAAGAACACCTTCCCAACCGTGAAGCATGGGGGTGGCAGCATCATGCTGTGGGGGTGCTTTGCTGCAGGAGGTACTGGTGCACTTCACAAAATAGATGGCATCATGAGGAAGGAAAATTATGTGGATATATTGAAGCTAAATCTCAAGACATCAGTCAGGAAGTTAAAGCTTGGTTGCAAATGGGTCTTCCAAATGGACAATGACCCCAAGCATACTTCCGAAGTTGTGGCAAAATGGCTTAAGGACAACAAAGTCAAGGTATTGGAGTGGCCATCACAAAGCCCTGACCACAATCCTATAGAAAATGTGTGGGCAAAACTGAAAAAGTTACACCAGTTACACCAGCTCTGTCAGGAGGAATGGGCCAAAATTCACACAACTTATTGTGGGAAGCTTGTGGAAGGATACCCGAAATGTTTGACCCAAGTTAAACAATTAAAAGGCAATGCTACCAAATACTAATTGAGTGTATGTACATTTCTGACCCACTTGGAATGTGATGAAAGAAATAAAAGCTGAAATAAATCATTCTCTCTACTATTATTCTGACATTTCACATTCTTAAAATAAAGTGGTGATCCTAACTGACCTAAGACAGGGAATTTTTACTAGGATTAAATGTCAGGAATTGTGAAACTGAGTTTAAATGTATTTGGCTAAGGTGTATGTAAACTTCCGACTTCAACTGTAGTAGCAATGCAAATATCATGGTACAGCTATATGGACAGTCAATCGCTATGGTATTTTTTATTGGTAAATTTACAAACATATATAATGATAAATAGATTTGAAACTTGTATCCCATTATGGTATGTGGTGAAATAAGTATAGCCAGTTATAATTGTAATGGCTTAGCAGATAATAACAAAAGAATAACAATATTTACATGGCTCCAAGAGAAGGAATATAATATCTATTCTTTACAGGAAACTCATTCAATAATTCTAGATGAAGTTGCGTGGAAAAAGGAATGGGGGGGGATATATATACTTCTCCCATGGGCAAAGAAACTCAAAAGGGGTGATGATATTAATTAACAGTAATTTCGATCCGAATGTGCAAATTGTCCAAACAGATACGCAAGGTAGATGGATTATTTTAAATATGTTATTGGACCATAAACAGATATGGTTAATTAACCTTTACGGACCAAATAATGATTATCCACACTTCTTTAACAATATATATAATAAATTATCAACTCTGCAAGCAATTCAAGACTCTATTATTATGGTGGGAGATTATAATACCATTTTAAATAGCTCAATGGACCGTAAAGGAAATCACACTACAAACAATCACCGTCATGCTCTTAAGGAAATCGTGAATGTCATGGATACATTAGAACTAGTAGATATATGGAGGAGACTCAATCAAGCTAGTCGTCTTGACTTCTTTCTTACGTCATTCTCGTTGGCACCAAAAGTTTAAAAAGTGTTGATAGGGGACAGAATGCGGTCGGACCATCATATAATTGGCATATACATTACTCTTACTGAATTTCCACGTGGGCGAGGATATTGGAAATGTAATCAAAACCTATTGGA